GGAGTGACTGGGAATCGCCTGCAGCGCCACCCGGCTTGGAGGAGTGATTGGGAATCGCCTGTAGCTTCACCTGGCCTGGGGGTGTGACTCAATCGCCTGCAGCGCAACCCCACCTGGAGGAGGAAGAGTGACAGGGAATTGCCTGCAATGTTATCCAACTAAGAGAAGCAGTCACTGTGATCACCTGCAGTGTCAATCAATGTTGTTGGATTCAAAGACTCTGAGAAGAAAAGACCTACTCAATTGGTGCTTCACAGCCAACCTGGTAGTCACCAATGTGCTAGAGTCACAGAGTGGCCACTGCACCTGGTTCAACCTAGAAGCCACCATAGTAAGCACCTGTGTAGAGACACTGGGCCTCTTGACAAGGAAATCCAGGATCTCCTAGACTGTAAATGCAAGGTGTTCCTGAACTTGCAGCTCCACCAAAACTTGAGAGGAGACAAGCTTACAAACAACTGAAAGCCAAGGTGCAACAAATAGCATATGGTGGGCGGAAAGAATGCAGGACTCTCATCAACTCATCAACGACCATCACATGCACAGGTTCTTCAGCTCAGTCAAATCATCTATAGTCCAAATACCCAGGGACCTACTCCACAGAGCCAAAAATGGAGAGTTGGTCATCAAAGACTGAGGCAGTCCATGCCTGCCAGAGACAGCACTTTGAGGACCTCTGCAATCAAGACCATCATTACCAAAGATCCTCAGACAGCATCTTCTAAACCCACGATCACTTCCATCTAGAAGGACAAGGGCAGCAGATACATTGGAACATCACCACATTCAAGTTTCCCTCCAAGCCATTCACCATCCTCACTTGGAAATATATCGCTGTTCCTTTACTGTGGCTGGGTAAAAGTCCTGGAATTCCCTCCTAAATGGCATTGTGGGTCAACCCACAGCAGGTGGACTGCAACAGTTCAAGAAGGCAGCTCACCACCACCTTGGTAAGGGTAACCAGGGACAGGCAATAAATCAGCTAGCAACGCCCACATCCCACAAATGAATAAATTTTTTAAAAAATGCACCTTTGACGTAAGTATTCTCAACACCATCCCACAACACACTGCCCATAGCCATTTCAGCACACCTTCAACTTGACACAAGGTCAACACTTGGAAAACATCAAGACCTCGGGCACAGATGGAATCCCTGCTGTAGGAAGACAGCATGCCAGGAAATCTCAGTGAGGCCGTAAGTGTGACCATCTCCAAGAAATGAGAGGGATTCCCTACTATCTGCTACAGGAAAGGCTATTGCAAGATCCCCTTCAACTGCCTTTCCCAAGTGGCTGAAGAGCTCCTTCTTGCATCTGAATGTGGCTTCCACCTGTCAAGAGGCATAATTGATATGATTCTCAATGTGCAACAACCCAAGAAAAGTGTAGGAAACAACACCAACCTCTGTACATAGGCTTCTCTGATATCACAACGGTCTTCGACTTGGTCAACTGTGACAGATTGTGGAATATCCTCCTTAAATTCAGCTGCCCACGGAAATTTGTCACCATTCTCTACCTGCTTCACAATGACATCCATCAAAGAGGTAGAGGAGTGACTGGGATTGCCTGCAGTACCACCCAACCAGGAAGAGTGACTTTTCATACATAGGATGTAGCTTTCACCAGCTGGGCCAGCATTTATTGCCTATCGTAATTGCCCCTGACTTCAGCATTTTGTTCATTTTGAATCAATGCTGTAAGGAGGTCAGGAGATCTGTGCAAATTGAGCATCCATGAGCAGGTTATTCCTTTGCAAATCCTGCTTGATAGCACTGCTGATGATGACTTCTATCACTTAGTTGAACACCAAGAGTGGACTCATTGTGTGGTAATTTGTCAGATTGGATTTGTCCCCAATTTTGTGGACAGGGCATACCTTGGCAATGCTGGGTAAATGCCAGTATTTTACCTATACCGGAATAACTTGGCTCCTGTCCTGGCTAGTTCTGGAGAATGAGTCTTCAGTACTATTACCAGAATGTCATCAGGGCCATAGGCTTTTTTGAACCTCATGCCTTCAACTGCATATTCATATCATATGGAGTGAATTGAATTGGTTGAAGCCTGGCGATCTATGATGCTGGGGACTTCAGGGCGGGGTCAAGATGGACCATCCACTGAGTACTTTTGGCAGAAAATAGAAGCAAATGCTTCACCCTTACCTTTTGCACTACTGTGCTGGGCTCTCCTATCATTGAAGATGCGTACACTTGTGGACCTTCCTCTTCCAGGGCTTGCTTAATTGATCAACATCATTCATGATATGATAGGAGTGCAGAGCTTAGATATGATCTGATGCTTAAGGGATTGTTTGCACCATTTGTTGCATGCAATTTCCATTGTTTAGCATGCAAGCAGTTCTGTATTGTAGATGTTCCACGGCGACAACTAATTTTTTAGATATGCCTGGCGTTGCTCCTGGTATGCCCTCCTGTAATGATCCTTTAACCAGGATTGATCTCCCAACTAGATGGTAGTTGTAGAGTAGGGCATGTTGACAATGAGGGTACAGATTGTCATTGAATACAATTTTGCTGCTGCTGATGGCCTACTGTGCCACATGGGTGCCTAGTTTTGAGTTGGCTAGGTCTTTTGACATCTGTCCATGATATCTTTTCAATGTGAAGCCTTTGTCTACTGAGTAGAGTATGGTGGTCACTCCTGCCAATACATAATGGACAAACACATCTGTGACAAGTAGATTGGTAAGGATAAGGTCAAGTATGTTTTCCTGTCTTGTTGCTTCCGTTAGTGCCTGCCACAGATCCAGTCTAGCTGCAATATCCTTTAGGAGTCAACCAGCTAGTTGTGGTGCTACCGAGCCACTCTTGGTAATGGACATTGGAGCTCCCTTAACCATTTTACATTTTGTGCGCTTGTTAACTCACTGCTTCTTCTAAGTGGCATTCAACATCGATGAGTACTCATTCAACAACAGAGGGAACCAGGAGGTGGTAATATGCAGGAGGTTTCCTTGTTCACGGTTGACCTGATGGCATTAAACTTTGTGTGATGTGGAGTCAATGTTGAAAACTCCTAAAGCAACTCTTTCCTGATTGTATACTAAATTGCAGTGAGACAGGACATACCCAGGGATGGTGATGGTAATGTATAGGATCTCACAGCGAAATGTATCTTTAACACTACTCAGGAAGGAGGATCCAAGATGGTGGCGGAGTAGGATGCTCCAGCCGGAACTCGTCTGCTCTCTCTGTTCCTTTTCTTTTTTTTTTCCTCGCTGTTGTATTTTTTTTTCTCTTTATCCTCTTCTACCAGTGGCCCAGAGCAGATTGGGCGGAGCCAGTGGAGCGGGGATGGTGGCCCAGAGCAGAGCAGAGATGGCCAGTGGTCTGGAGTGGGAACGGTGACCAGCGTGCCCGGAGTGGAACGGGAACAGCCATTGGCTTGAAGCAGAGCAGGAACTGCTCTAGCAGCTCAGAGCCAGGATGGCTACTGGTTGGGAATCGGTGGGGCCTGGTCAGACCATGTGGAAACCCTTATTGAAAGACTGTAATCTCTATCTTGTTAGCTTTATTTTTTATTTTTCTACCTGTACTTATACAGTGTGTATCTATAATGTAGTGTAACTTTTTTCTTTTTTTTGTACTTGTACTTAAGAGTTGTACCTAGGTACTTTGTACCTAAGATGACATCATGTGTTGGCAACATTGTGCACTGTTCATACTCCTGTTCTTTTGTAACTTGAGGATACGTGACAATAAACCCTACTCTAATTCACAATGTTACTTACTGTATCTTCTACACATTGCCATGCTAGATATGCATGTGTTCTCATATAAGGTACAATTCTGTGAGAATGACTAGGTCATGCTGTTGATTAGTCTGCAGGGCAGCTCTTCTAATTTTGTCACGAGTCAATGGGATTGCCCAACTAGGATGAAGAATGTCTGAAATCACTTGCAGCGCCACCCATCTAGGGTGAGGAATATTTGAGATCACCTGTAGTGATAGTAACTCTGTGATGCAGTGCCTCACTCTGCCCTTGATGGCCAAAAGTTGCTATCACAGAGAAGGATGTCTTTAGCACTACCCAGCAAGGAGGATGCATGGACAGTGCCACTTACCGAGAAGAGAGTATCTTCTACATATTACCGTGCTGTATGTGCATGGATTCTCATGCCTGTAAGAATGTCTCTAAACTGAAACTAATTGAAAGAAATTTGCATTGCATATTTTGTTTCTTTCATCACTTAATTTTTATATGTACTCTATAAAAACATAAGATATATTCAAATGAGCTAAGCAGTAATATGCAGCATTGACTTGTAAAAGGCAAATTACACATCAATAATTGAGTTACAACATTGACGAAAACACCAGTGTAACTGAATATTGTACATGAGTTACCAGAAGGCATTTGATGATGCGCTGCATAATAAATTCGCGACTTGAGTTAGAACCGTATAGTAATTTAGATTGGAAAAGCAATGGTCTTCTATTTTTAAGAAATTGCCTCTTATTTTTACTGCATTGATGGATACATTTTGTTCCCTAACTCTATGGCAGCCAATAGAGAACTGAGCCTGGAAGTCTCAGTTGCATGAATTGAGAAGGTGGAATATCGTTTTCCACTAGATGGTACTGCACTTTGGTTCCCTCCAGCAATGCACAACTGCAGCAGCTCACTGTTGAAGGTTATATGGAAATTGAATAATGTAATTTTAGAATTGGGGTGGACACATAAACACCACAAGGTGGTCACAGGAGGAAGCGTGCATTTTGAATAAACCTTGAGATATGCTTAAGAATAACCTTAGCATTGTTTAAATAGATAGCAAGCATTTCTACAGTGCCAGTTTGGAGTAGAATTCAAATGTTTAACACCCTCAAGTAGTTTGAAATTATAAGGCATCCTGGCATTTCATACCTAAGAATTATGGAAGCATTATAATTTCAATTACTGCAGTGGACTGTGGAGGATACACCACCACCTCCTAGGACTGTTAGAAATAGACAATAAATGCAGCCTTATTTATTTCTCATTTACCAAGAACAAATTTAAAATGTAGTTTGAATGAGGTTCGAATTGGTGGGATCAATATCTGTGAATCAACCAGCAGAGATTTGTTAATGTTGTGACTCCACAAGAAAAATTGAACATCTTGTCTATTTTACTGCCTCCCCTTCCCCCAGTTCATATGTCACCAGAAAGGACAATGTGCCACATCCTCCCATGCTCACAAATGCTCCCTTTCCCTGCTCTAATGGTCATCAGTAGCCACCTACCCTTCTCCTACCTCAACCCTGCCCAGATATTTTATGGTCACCAGCAACCCTGTCCACACTCCCCTGTTGGTTCCATGGTTGAAGGATCTCTTGTTTTGTTTCATAAGCATAGGTCACTTGTTGTTCTTAAAATCTCTACAGGAAGGATAGAGTGTCTTTGGATAGGGTATGGAAAAGATTCGTGGTTCTGTAGTTCTGTGGAGAAGGAACTTCAATTATACTGGGACAATTCTCCTTGAGAAAAGAAGGTTGAGTGGAGATACTCATCATGAGGGATCTGAACAAAAAAACTATGGAGGGACTATTCCCATTGGTGGAAACATCAAGAGCCAGACGGAACTGATTTAAAGTAATTTGGCAAATGAAGCAATGAGAAATATCTTTTTTGTGCCGTGAATGGTTAGGATTTGGACTGCCCTGCCTGAATATGGTAAGTTGAATTGAAGCATTTATGAGGGAATTGGATCATTATCAGAAAAAGACAAATGTGCAGGCCAATTGACAAAAAGCATGGTACTGGGATGAGGTGGATTGTTCCTTTAGAGGACCAGCATGGGCATTACCCTGAGGAACTCCTGCAGAGATGTCCTGGACCTGAGATGGCTGACTACTGACAACTGCAATCATCTTCCTTTGGCTTGGGTACAACTCCAACCAGCTGAGTCCACATTGTTGGGTAGATTATTATTGTTATAGCGATATCAAAGCAGCTGGTTATGGGCACAACAAGTTTTCACCCACCAGCCCCATCACAACGTCATGGCACTTCTCCAACTCACTTAGAGTATAATCCACAGAATGCTGGAGAAATTCAGCAGTTCTGGCAGCAATGTGGGGAGATAAATGGCATTAAGGTTTTGAGTTCAGTATGACTCATCTTCGGAACTTCAGAAGTTGGTAGTCAGGCGTACTGCACAGTATGTCAAGGGTATTAGTCCAATGACTTGGATGCAGTCAATTAGCTGCTTGGGACATTCAAGGGACATTCAAGGTAATGGGTTCTGTATCAATACAGTCTGGGCAGGGGTCACAGTCTGGCAATCAAATCACTGGTTAGCAATTGCTGACTTCTTTTTCCACTAGATGGTACTGCACTGGTTGCCTACAGCAATGCACAACTGCAGCAGCTCACTGGTGAAGATTGATATGGAAATTGAATAGTGTAATGTCAGAATTGGGGTGGTCATAGAAGGAAGAGATAACACAGTGTGAGCTGGAGGAACACAGCAGGCCAGGTCGGACACGGGTCCTGACCAAAATGTCAACTTTCCTGCTTCTCAGGTGCTGCCTGGCCTGCTGTGTTCCTCCAGCTCCACTCTGTGTTATCTCTGACTCCAGCATCTGCAGTTCTTACTATCTCTGAGTGGGACATAGAAGGAAGCATACATTTTGAATAAAACTTGAGATATGCTTAAGAATAACACTAGCATTGTTTAAATAGACTGTAAACACTTATACTGTGTTAGACTGGAGTAGAATTCAAATGTTTATCACCCTCAAGTAATTGAAACTATAAGGCATCTTGGTGTTTCATACCTAAGAATTTTGAAAGAATCATAATTTCAATTATTGCAGTGGACTGCAGAGGATACACCACCACCTCCTAGGACGGTTAGAAATAGACAATAAATGCAGCCTTATTAATTTCATGTTTCAGGAACAAATTTGAAATGTAGTTTGAATAAGGTTCAAATTGGTGGGATCAAAATTTCTGTATTGGCTTTAAGAATCCTTCATGACATGTACTTTTGACTAGGCTTTATATAGCTTAAGTGAATTTAAATTCATATCATAAAGCTAGTTATTGCTGTGTAATAGCCATAAAGTGCAGGCACTCTGCTAAGTTAAGGATGAAATGCATGCTTGGGAGCTTGCTCTGCTTCTGACGATCATAACCTGAGACTGGAAGTAAAGGGCAAAGAAACTTAATTTCCCTAACTGCTGTCATATATCTTAACGTAATTATGGATCTACCAAAGATGTATGCAACATTAGTGCTGAGTGATAACTTATTAAGATGATATCTTACCAATTCTCTTTATCTCTATGTTGTTTGACAATAAATAAGTTTGTTAAGTTATTGAGAATTCAGGACATCGGTAATAATGCGTACAAAATATCACACCCTTCAACTTAAGTTAGCATACCAAAATGTTTGGAACAATGACAAGTGTGTTCTTTTTTTTGTTCATTCACAGGATGAGGGCATCACTGGCTAAGCCAGCATTTATTTTCCATCCCAGAGGGCAGTTAAGAGTTAATCACATTGTTGTGGGTCAGGATAGCAGTTTCCTTCCCTAAAGGATATGAATGGACTGATGATACTTAGATTTGTTAATATCAGTTAATATCAGAATGATGGTGCTGAAGGTGGAGCTAAAGTCAATTAATAGGAGTCTGGTGTAGGCGTTCATTGTATTTGAAAGTGCAAATTAAAAGTGGAAATTAACATAATTACATCTAAGTAAAAACAGTGTGAAGAGTTTGAAAAACATTCTGCGCCCTTATTTACCACCATTGACCAGTTAATTAGATGAGTTTGTTTACACTTTCTGTAGCTAATAATGCAACTTCTTACTTATAATCTGACTTGAACATGATAACAGTTGTTCATATAGCACACGTCACCAGTATTATTAAGACTATACCTGCTTGATATGCTTCAACCGTCATCCTGAACAATCTCCAAATTGAAAACTTGTCCCATTCGAATATGAACCAATGTAGTTAACCTATTCCATTGTTTTCATTCTCGGAATCAGAAACTGCTAAGTTGTAAGCTTTGAAATTTGCACACCAGATCTGCCAGTCTTTTAAGGTGTAACAAAATAAATGGAGAACTAACTTCCACATCTTGTCCTTTTTAGAATTTGGAAAGCAGAATAGATTCTTAAATTTTGAATCCAGTGCTGTCTTTAGCCACATTAAATATTGTGTTCTTTATGTTTAGTTACTGTGTAGGGAAGGAGTTATTAAACTGAATAACATCAGTCTTCAGCTGAGACAGACCAAATAAATGGCACAAGTAAATAAAACTACAGAACAGGAACTGTAGATCTCTCCTCCTCCCAGTATTTGATTTGACTTATTATTGCCATATGGACCGAGATACAGTGAAAAGTATTATTTTGCATGCTAATCAGATATATCATACCTTTCATTAGTATGTCAGGGTAATACAACAGAATGCAGAATATCATCTTACAGCTACAGAGAAAGTGCAGAGAAAGATCAACTCTAATATATGAGAGATCCGTTCATATGTCTGATATCTGAGGGGAAGAAGCTGTTCTTAAATCTGTTGGTACATGTTTTCAAACTTTTGTATATTCTGCCAAATGGAAGAGGGTGTAAGAGAGTATAACCGGGGTGGGAGGGGTCTTTGACTATGTTGGCTCCTTTCCTGAGGCAGTGGGCAGTGTAGCAGAGTCAATGGCAGGAAGGCTGATGTTCAAGATGGACTGGGCTACATTCACAACCCTCTTTAATGTCTT